TATATATATATATATATATATATACACACACACATATACAGTGGCATATTTCATATATACACAAATATATATGTGCACACACACACATATATATGCTGTGAGGGGATTGCTATGTGGGCCATGCCATGAAGGCCAAGCTGATGGAGGTTGCCATGTGAACAATGCCATGAGGGCCATGCCATGAGGGGATTTGCCACGAAGGGGATGCCGTGAGGGCCAAGCCATGATAGAGTTGCCATAACGGGGTTGCCGTGAGGGTCAAGCCGTGATAGGGATGCCATAAGGGGGATGCCGTGAGGGCCAAGCTGTGATGGAATTTGTCATGAGGGGCATGCCGTGAGGGGACAAGCCATGAGAGGACTGTCCTGAAGGGATGCCGTGAGAGCGGTGCCATGAGGGCCACGCCATGATATGGGTGCCACGAGCGGGATGCCGCGAGGGCCAAGCCATGAGCACAGTGCCCATCCTGAAGGGGATGCCCTGAGAGCGGGGCCCTCAGGGCTGCCCCGCCATGTTGCGGCGCGGGCACGGGCGCACATGGCCCCGGGCCGCCCCTCCGCGCCCCCAGCCCGGCCCGGGCAGWGCGGGGAGCACCGGCAGCCACAGACCCCGACCGAGCCGCGATCCCTGCGCCGTTCCAGCGCGGCTGGGTGACTTACTGTGCTCCAGGGGGAATTCGGGAGCGGGAAGGATCCTCCGCCAGGCCGGGAACTACAGCACCCAGAGAGCACCGCGGCACCGGCGGGAGGAGGGACGGGAGAGTGTCAGCAACGTCGCGACTTGGGCGCCCTTTGGCACAGAAATTGGTCAAGTGTAGGTCTGTGAGGCGGGTGGGGAAGGGGGGAGAGGCGGCCGGAAGACCACCGCGATGTGTAGGTTGGTTTTATTTTATCCACCAGTTGCATTAGGGGCTGGGGGTGGCGGTCTGTTAGGGCTGTGCAAAGGTGGATTTTGTCTCTGTATTCCTTGAAATACCACATAGGAGCAACTCCTTAGTTTGTCCCACATTTGAACTTTCTGCTTCATGAAACCAAGGAATAYTGGGCAATATTTAGTCCAATTTAGCATTACAGTTGTGCTACAATATTGTTAATAAAACTAGATTTGATCCACAGTTTAACTCTCCAAGACCTATAATGTGAAAACATCACTGTTCTTCATAAAATACGTTTGGAAATAATATTTAATGATTTTTTCACATTTAAGCACATCCCAGACTTTTGCTTTAAAAAGGAACAGTTACATGAATAAATGTTCTAAGTAATATTGGCGCTTGCGGCAGAACTATTAATGAAGTCCCACAGTGCTACTAACTGAACAGTATCAGCAACAATAACTGATCTTGACAAGATGAAAGTAAATATTTGATTAATCTGAAAACCACCTGACACTGAAACTGAAAAAAAAGAGTTTAAATAAAGGGAGTTTATTAAACAAGCAGAGGTAGGGAGAGSAAGAACAGTTATTTTTCTGTGGGGCTGTGGATTCTCATGTGTATGAATYGGGACTTTTTGTAATTATCACATTAGTTCTGTTTGTAAGGAGCCAGAGAGATACATGCACCACACACTAAAGTCCTTCTCTGTTTTTTTTTTTTTTGGGCACCTTTCTTATGTTTTTCCTTGCAGAGGCGGACATGCCTGGTTGAGTTTGCGGAATCAGCGGAATTTGAATATGTCTGAAATTGTTCAAGTCAAACACTTTCAGTCTTTACTTTGATACCAAAAATTACATAGTTTTCTACTAGTAAATTTAAAATATATTCGTGTGAACATGGCATGATCAGGCAAAAGGATTTCTTAACTGTAATTACTTTCTATTTTAAATGCAATAACTCAAGTATGACATAAAAGTAAGCAAATTGATCCAAGTCTCTGACCCACATTTTCTCCAAAGTCAATATTAAGGCAGATCGGCAGGACATAGTGAAGAATGATGCTGCTTTTAAGGAGTCTTGCGAGTGATTATTAAACAATATTGAAGCTGAAAAATTTTAGCCGGCAGCAATTGAGCAGTTATACTTGGGTTTTCACGGAATSACAGGATGGCTTGGGTTGGAAAGGACCTTAAAGACCATTTAGTGATTACCTTTGAGARGGGTGCCACTCACCAGATCATGTTTAGAGGTATTTTAAATTTATTTCAGGTCAACTAACTCCCGTAAATTTCTACTACAGAAACTGTGCGTGGGAAGTCTTCCAGCTGTAGGATAATTCGGTTTTACAGACTATTTGTACACCCCTATAATTAAAAATTATTTCAGAGCAGCACTGGGGGGGTCCCCAGGGCGGCTGTATTCTGGACAAACTCATTTCGGTGCATTCCAGCATCGCCAGAAAAGCTCCGGCTTTCCAGGCGGGCAAAAGGCACACTTTATTTATCCACCTCCCTTTGGATTTCCCCCTTTGTTCCTTTAATTTTCGCGGCCCCGCCGCCAGCCCCCGGAGCACATGTGCGTGTCACCGCCGGGCCGAGGGGGAGGGAGGGAGCGCGGGCGGGCGCCTCTCGCATGGAGCCGGGGCTGAGGGCCCCGTGGTGATGCAGCAGCCGCAGCAGCACCGCCCGTGTGCGGGCAGGGCCCCCTGAGAGCCGCCGCCCGCCCGGACCACACGCGGGGCTCGGCTCCGCTCCATGGGCACCGATGGCATCGCTCCCGCTCGCACCCGCCGGCGCCGAGCCTCAGCCCGCCATGGCCTCCGCCGGGTAAGTAGCGGCCGCCGCGGGGGACGCCAGCGGCTCCGGGGAAGGGTGAGCGGGAGTGCGGGGACACGGGGCTGGCGGTCACGGCCTCCCCGGAGCCTTTTCCTGCGCTCCGCGGGGCCGCGGGGGCTCGGACCTCCGTACGGGGCGCGAGAGGGGCCGCGAACGGCGGCGGTGGGGCGATGTGGCTGTGTGGGGAAGGGGTCTGTGCGAGGCGGCGGTGTGGTCGAGGAGCGCCGGGGACTGGTTTAATGCTTTCACCGGGGCACGGGGACACGCTCGGGGCAGCTTTGCCAGTGGCGGCGGCGGCGGGCACTGAGCACGGGGGGGGGCGGCGGGAGCGCCACAACATGGCGGCGACGGCTGAGGGGACACGAGACCTTCCTCCCCCCCC